AAATTTGCAATTTCAGTGCCAAATGGATTTGCACCTCAACTGATTTGTGTGTCGTCGATTCGGCGGCAAATATCGGCGATGCCAAGCGCTTCGAGAGCCAGAACGATTGTCGMCTSTCATGCGGCAGATATGGCGCTATCTGGCCCATGCCCACCGGCGATTGCAACTTATCCAACGAACGCGTGCGTTTTGATCCGTGGAAGGTGCGYTTCAATGTGGTGGCGCCCGACCCTGCTACGACGCAGTATCTGCGGGAATCAAATCGCATTTTCGTCAGTAACATGCTGAAGGAGTGTCTGCGCAACTGTTCGCTGCCGAATAGCAAAGAGGTTTACGTGAAGACTACAGTGAGTTCGAATAGTTTGGTGTTGGACTGGGGCACGAATGAGACTTATCAGCTGAGTCTGCGAACAACAGGTGGGCAAAACGCATAACGGAAAAAAAAAATTCAATTACTAACGTTTTTTTTTTTTTATTGGAAATAGAAATGGCCACATTTGTTGATGTTAAAGCGCAAACAGTCTACGGTGCTAGGCATGCGCTGGAAACCCTCAGTAATCTTATAACGGGCAGCAAAGAGTAGGTTTGACTTATGATAATATTTACTTACATTTCAAGCACTATTGTTGTTGTTATGCTTGAATTGAAAATAGAAATGGTCTGCTCTTGGTGAAAGCAGCTCGGGTGCGCGATGGACCCATTTACCCACATCGTGGCTTGCTTCTGGACACCGCTCGCAATTTTATGCCTTTGCGGGTGATCAGTCGCGTTCTGGACGGTATGGCAGCCTCGAAGATGAATGTGCTGCACTGGCATGTGGTCGATTCGCAGAGCTTTCCACTGGAAATCACGAGGGTTCCCGAATTACAGCAGTAAGTATTTGAATGATGGCACTAAGAAAATAAGTGAGGATATGAAATGGATGTAGAAACAARAAAGATGAAAATACTAACGGTACTATGTAGCTAATAAACCGTAAAAAYTAAAGAAAAGYTATACAAACTAAAATGGATCCGAACGGCATTTGCATTGAGTYTAGTAACCATTTAACCRCRTTTCACCACTAGGTTTGGCGCCTACGGACCCGATTTGGTTTACAGTCGCATCGACACTCAAAACATGGTGCGCTACGCGCGCCTGCGCGGCATACGCATTATTATCGAAATCGATGGGCCGTCACATGCTGGCAATGGTTGGCARTGGGGTCCCATGTCGGGGCTGGGCAACATGGCGGTGTGTGTCAATCAACAGCCTTGGCGTTCGTATTGCATTGAGCCGCCGTGTGGACAATTGAATCCACTCAACGAGAATATGTACGGCATAATGAAGGAGATTTACGAAGATCTCGCTGAGGTGAATGCACCCGAGGAGACAATTCACATGGGTGGCGATGAAGTGTTTATACCCTGCTGGAATCGCACAGACGAGATAACGCGGCGCATGCGCGAMACGGGTTATGATTTGAGTTTACGCAGCTTTTACAAGCTGTGGGCGGAATTTCATCAGAAAAACTTGGACTCGTGGGATAATGTAACACAGCGACAGTATGCACGGATTCCCATACCCAAATCGGTGATACTGTGGTCGAGTCATTTAACAGACCCCGATATCATAGTCGAGCACTTGCCCAAAGAGCGTTACATCATACAAACGTGGGTGGAATCAGATAAAACATTGAACAACGATTTGCTGCTGAAGGGTTATCGCATTATAGTGTCTACGAAGGATGCCTGGTACTTGGATCATGGTTTCTGGGGACGCACGGAATACCACAATTGGAAGAAGGTCTATGATAATCGCATGGAAGTGCATCCGCTCGTGTTGGGCGGTGAAGTGTGCATGTGGAGTGAGTTTGTGGACCAAAGTTCAGTGGGTAAGTGTGGTGAAAAGAGAGATAATTATTTTGGAGTAAATATATTTTTGTAACAGAGGCACGTATATKGCCACGCGCTGGTGCTGCAGCTGAACGGCTGTGGGCGAATCCGAAACTATCGAGCTTGTTGGTGCAGACGCGTTTCTTRCGCTATCGCGAACGTCTTTTGTCGCGCGGCATTAAACCCGACGCTGTCATACCGAAGTGGTGTGTGCTGAACGAGGGGCAGTGTTTGTAGATATTTATTCAAATTTATACAATAAAAAAGTAAAATACTGAAATATTGCTTGTAATTTTCTTCAAGTTTAGCACTACATCGGAATCCCTGTACATATATTTTGCTACCTATTCACTATTTATTAATACATATATAAATTCGGACATACTTTGTTAGCTTAGTTTGTTATATAGCCTTGATCAATGGCATGCTTGAAAATCTGTGCAATGCGTTCCCGTTTGCTCTGCTCTTTGAATGGCTTGATGTCCCAGACATCGGTGAGCACAGCATCCTCCTTCATGTCATCCAAATCGGCCACCTCGTCGTCTTCGATCAATGACATTGGCAATGACTCAATACCCATGCCGCAACCGAAACGCGCGAAACGGCGCATTTCCTCTTGGAAAGCTTCCCAACTGAAGACCGTCGTCGGATCAGCACCTAAATCGGCGATCAGCGCACAAGCGCTCTGGTGATACTCCTAAAAGCGTTACGGTGATGAAGTTTATTAGTCAGCACAAAAAAGTATTCTATAAAATTACCTTTAATAGCTGTTCGTAGTGGSATTCTCGCAAGGCCTCACTTGTGCAAGAGTAGATGAAGAATGATATATCCACGGCGATAGAAGCACGTCGCGCTAATTGGAAATCTATGACAATGATAGCCTCTGGATGCTTGTCCTTGGAGTAACGAGTCAAAAAGTTTGGTGTCCAGCAATCGCCATGACCAATGGCCGCAAGTGGTGCTGATTTTTTATGTGACCAGTGTTAGAGAAATGTCAAATGTCAAGTGCAAGTGTACTTACAATCCGACGAAACAAGTTTGATAAGATCATCATACAGCGGTGTAGGTTGTAAAAATTTTTTAGCTATAGTTTCGTATTCCGTGCCGGAATAAGTTTTTTCCACCGCATCCTTAGCCACATTGCAGGCCAAACCGAGGAAACCGATATACCAGGAACGCTTGGCTTCATTATAGTATGTTTCCTGYAAACAATAAAAAATCATAAAAACAAAAACTAGAGATAAAGCATTTAGCGACTCACCTCCAARCCCTTTGCCGCCGCTTCAAAATTTTCGGGCTCTAAAGCACGGAATGCTAATGAAATACCATGGAAACGTCCCAATGTGCGCATTGTCAAAATGGCGTCTTCCAGCGRTATGTAATCTTGTCTGTTTGGCGCATTGTAACCACGGAAACTGACGTTTTCCAATGCGATAAAATCATTTAGACCATCGCAGTGCGAAGCGAAACATTTTGGGTACTCTGTGAATGGATTGACAGGCTTCTGACGCGCCTGAAAAGCTTCCCAAGCAGGCACCACTTTTGTGTAGAAATTTATTTCATTTCGGAAGAAATCCGCTGAGTGAAAGACTTTCCGGCGCGCTACATTATCCGGCATGCCTTTACAAATCAGATGCACTTTGACTGTTGAGCTGGAATAAAAATTTTGCTTACTTTTTTATCTATTCAATATAAATGAAAGTATTACCCATCAGTTTCATTTACGCCGAAGACGGCAAGTCGATAAACTCTACTGAGATAGGAGTCGCCYTTCTTGAAACCTTCGCCGAATTTATAGGAAGTGTGCTTAGTGCCACCGGCCTTCTGGATGATCTCATCCAACGTTTTTTCAGTGAACTTTTTTGAAATTTCCGACAGACTCATGGTTATTTAATAACTGTAAATAAAAAATATTTAATAAATTTTTAGAAGTTGCTCCAGCCGCACTTGAAACTAATTGTGATCACTTCGAGCGATTGTTACAAACTGCAGCCGCTAGTTGATTATCAACAATATATAAATAAATGCAAGTGAATACATATAAAATCATGCGAAATCGCGAATAGCTTATAGTATGAATGTTTCAGATATAGATACATAAATTGATTGCTTTGCCAGCGGCACTTGTAATTCTGAGCATACGTGGATTTTTCTGATACGTTCAAATTATCGCCGCGTCAACTTAATACCCTCTTATACTACTATAGGTTTTTTTTTTAGGTTGCAAGCTAGAAAGCAAGCTCGTCGGAACTATTTGTATGCGTGAAAGCAAGAGATAAATTTTGATAACATCAATTGTTCTAAAATTAGAAGTGAAGAAGTGCCACCTACAATCACACACATTCGTGTACTTTTCGCTAAGTTTAATTCTACAATTAGTATAAATATCATCACTTTGACTTTATCACAATGTGGCAAATAAATTAGCATACGAATTTTTGCAAGAAACCACTAAACCAACCAGCTGATAAGTTTTCCGGTTTGGGGCATTCCAAAAAGACGGCTTCGTCAGAACATTGTGGTTGTGTGGCGCGTAGAAATTAAAAATTGTCATAGGTATATGCGTATGTTTGAAAATAATTTATTCGTACAGCCAATTAATCTCAATAAGGGAAGGTTTTGATATAAAAAATAGACACTTCTTACAAATTAMTGTGTGACGTCCAAACACTCAGTTAAAGTAAACTCAAAGAATGCAATAGCAAAGTAAACACTTGACTTTTTACAGTAACACAAACACTTGATAGGATATATTTACTTCGTATAATATAATTGATATATATTTGGAATGAATACTTCTGATTAAACTACTCAACCAAATGTAATCTATTAATATTGATTAATTAAAACTAGCTAAACTTCACTGTCAACTATACGCCATCCTTATATACATTTGACTTTACAGTGTTGTATTTAATTCATTCATAAAGGTAGCAGAAAACTCGTAATGAGCTATGGCAAGCCTACTTATAACGTTAAAAGTTGCCGGTACAGCTGATAACGTAAGGCAACGCGCAACAAGTTAACGTTTTGTTTTGATATTGTTTCGCCGAAAAATTTTGACAGTTTTGATAAAGTAAACTAATTTAGCAAAACAAAATGAAACAACAAATTAATATGTGCAAGTAGCTGAACAAAATTGTGTACGGAATCCGAAAAAGGAGATTTGCACATAAAATTTAAAATAAGAAAAAAAGTAATCAAGTAGTACGTGAAAATATGTGAATAAATCTACAATACACATTGTAGAGTAATTTGTATTCGAAATAATAARTGAAAAGATTCAAAGTTCCATAGTAGCCATGAATCGTTACACAGTGAGTGCGYTAATAGGGGAAGGATCCTTTGGGCGGGTCTACAAAGCCGTACGCAAAGAGGATGCACAAGTCGTAGCCATAAAGGTTATATCCAAGGTATGGAAGTTATGTATATATATTACAATAATAAATGTTAACAAAGTGCTTAGTACGATATTAAAAATATTTATGTATATTGATACAGCGCGGTCGTAGTAGTCGTGAGCTGAAAAATTTGCGACGAGAATGTGAAATACAGGCGCATCTTAAGCATACGAATGTCATTGAAATGCTGGAATCGTTCGAGACGAAGAACGATCTGATTGTTGTCACTGAATTTGCACTCGTAGATCTGCATCGCTATCTGGCGCGCAATGGCGCTTTACCAGAGGAGAAAGCACAACGTCTTATTTGCCATTTAGTATCAGCACTTTACTATCTACATTCCAATCGCATACTGCACCGCGATCTCAAACCGCAGAATGTGCTACTCAATGAAGATTTGCATGCAAAATTATGTGATTTTGGCTTAGCACGCAACATGACCATGGGTACGCATGTGCTGACTTCTATTAAAGGCACACCCCTATATATGGCGCCAGAGTTGCTGGCTGAGCGACCATACGACCATCAGGCTGACCTATGGTCGTTGGGCTGTATATCGTATGAGTGCATGGCCGGTGCGCCGCCTTTCTGTACAACGTCAATATTGCATTTGGTGAAATTGATTAAACATGAAGAGGTTAAGTGGCCAAGCTTCCTAAGTAGCGATTGTCGCTCATTTTTGCAGGTAAGTGTTAATGCAAACGATAGAAATTGTCGGAATATTGATAATAATTACATATGTTTACAGGGATTGYTGGAAAAAGACCCTTCGCTGCGCATTTCATGGACACAAATACTGTGTCATCCTTTTGTGGAGGGCAAACTCTTCATCGCCGGCATCAAAGCGAATAATTCGCCATTCACCAACCCCCAAAAGCAAAAGAATACAAAATGCTCACGCTCTCAAAGGTAGAAAAATTGCTTTTTTTTATAATTATTTATAACTATTTTTTTTTAATTATTATTTAAAGTAGTACCAGCTCAAAAACAGAGGAGCTSTCAGAACGTATTACCTCCATGAATCTCGCAAACACTTCCCATTGCACCAACGACAATCTGACATCATCACGTGACAGTATTAATGCTATACCACCTAGTGATATTGAGAATCTCGAAACGGATGTTGAAGATAACACAGTTACTGTGCCATTCGCTGATCAATCTTTCAGAGATGCAACAGAATTGAAAGCCCTCAATGGCGACATTGTAGTGCCCCATTTCAATATTGTAACGGAGGCAGCTGTGGCGGCGCCTACAATMAATTCACAAACTTGCTTCGTCAGCGGCAACAACAACATGATACTCAACCATATGAATGACAATTTTATGTATACGGAAAACACAAACGCCTCGCCATCCCAGCAAATGAAGCAGTCGCAACAAAAGTCTCCCTCCGATAATGTCAAGTTGCAAGACACTTCGCCAAATACAAATGCGAWTGTGAAAGTGGCGCGCAGCAAGGATTTGGAAAAGCGCAAACTCAGTCAGAATTTGGACAATTTCTCACTGCGCTTAGGRCAGACACTGGATGTGGAAGTGCAGCGCAAAACCAATGAACGCAGAGAGAAGGATAAAGACAGAGATAGGGAGAAGGAGCAAAAGTGCAGCAAGAGCATGGCGCAATCTGCCGATGAAAAGCGCAGTACCGAGTAAGTGGCACAGCACACGAGTCTAAACTGTTATTTTTATAAATTCTCATACATATTTTAAGAAATACTCCACCATGTCTGCTGCCTGGTTGGGACTCCTGCGACGAGTCGCAGAGCCCACCTATTGAAAATGACGAGTGGCTGGCGTTTTTGAATCGCACAATGCAGGAAGTATTAGACGGTGAATTGGACTCCTTGAAGCAGCACAATTTGGTATGCCTATATGCCAAAAACTGAAAATTTTTWWAACTGAAATTCACGTTACGCAGGTCAGCATCATAGTGGCGCCACTGCGCAATTCAAAGGCCATACCGAAAGTGGTGGACAGCGTAGCTCAACTCCTATCGCTGCCATTTGTGGCCGATGAGTCACGCTGTGTTATAGAGCTCATACAAAATGTAAATAAAATAAAAATTCATTCTAAAATAATTACAATAATAAAAAGCGTTAATTACCAAACGCYTTGCAGGTTTATATCGACGTAAAGCTCGTGCCCAATCTCATGTATGCGTCCAAATTGTTGATTTGCCACAAGGGCGCCGGCGATTCGAGCGCTTCCTTGACACAGGCGCACGGCGGACGTGCCGTGCGCGCCATGGAGGAACTGAATAACGAGGAAATATGCACCACATCGCGTCTCTATGAACTAATCTGTCACTTGGTGCACATGAAGCAGCAGTTCCTCACGCAATTCTGCGACGCAGTGGCCATATTGGCGGCAAACGAACTGCTCATCAACCTGCTGCAACACGGTTAGCGTTGGAAATAATGTAAAAGTAGTACGCAGCTTCTAAACAAACGATTTATTTACAGATTTCARGAATGCCAATGCGGTGCGCATCTCAAACTGCATTTTGGGCCTGTTGATATGCGTGCTGCGCGAGCTGCCGGAAAATGCGGATTTGGTGGAGCGCGTCATATTCAGCGGCAAGTTGAATTTAGTAGCGCTTTTCAGCAACAGCGATGATTTGTTGCGCATGCGCATGTGCATGCTCTTTCGCTTGTTGGCGCGTTTCAGTCTGCGCGGCSTGCAGGGTGTTTGGTGTACGGATCTCAAGAAAGCAATCGAACATTTGGCCGATGACGACAACCTGGAAGTGCGTGAGGTGAGTGATTTWTTGTATTTTGCGCTTGATTTTGTTGTAATTACAAGTTTACTGAAACAGATTGCCGAGAGCACATTGGAGGAACTGCGCCACTTCACTTTCTATGCATAAAAGTGGCCAAAAGCACACATAATAATGCTACAAACATGACAGCTACACTGGCAGCACAATGAGATTAATACCGTTAAGTTACTACTTTTTGCTAGTATTTACTTTTTATATACTTTTTTTTATCGTAAAAAAAAACTCTTTTTATATTTTTGTAACTCAAACCAAGACAAATGTACGAAATCATATTTAATTTTTTATATTTTGTGTACGTTCCTCTGGACGGTTTCGTCTAAATAAACTATTTTGAAAATACTCCAACAATTCGTCTAAGTATGAGCCCAGCCGATCAAAGCTAAATAGATAATACGCATTGCAGTCCTCCTGGTACATTTCGTTCAGCTTGGATATGTCCTTTTCGGAAAGTCCTTTGCGTTGACCCAAAGAGGCATATGGATCCTAAGCGATTGGAAAGTGAAAACAAAGCTGTCAAGCAACTACCTACCGGCAAAGCTCAGTTCTTCTTACCAGCGGTTCAATGGTCGGCTTGCCATTCTTCGTGAACGCCTTCGAACTATAGTGCATTACACTCTGATAATCGTACTCCACGCCGAAGTTGGTAATGTATGTGCGTGCGTATTTGTTGAAGTTGTGCGCATGCCCGTCGAGTATGTTCTCCCAGTTGATCTTCACGTATTCATCGCGTTCCGTCGAGCTTTGCTGGTGATAGAAACCGAGCGCGTGCAGCAGTTCGTGCACGATGACGCCATGCGAGACGCAGCGCGGCGTATTGAGGTTAAGTACCTGCGTATTATGAAAGGTTACGCATATTTTTTATTTTTTTTTTTTTTGTAGATTTGTGGTGTGTGTGTGTGTTTGCAAACCTGTCCGCCTTGTCGTCGGCCCACGCTGGACCAGCAGCCGGTGTAGTTGCCTTTAATGACTATCCAATTGGTGTCGCCCTTTTCGTAGGGTCGAAATCGGATGCAAGTCTTCTCGTGGTACTCTTTGAAGGCCTCCAAAATTGTCATCATTTGCGTTTGGTCTGTGGTACAGTTGATAAGAAAAAGAGTAGTTTAAAATCTCTTAGGTAAATATTGTAGGTAAACGTGGCGAAATGCGAAGGCAGTGAACTTTGTGCATTGTAAAGTGTCATTGGATTTATTCTGAATAGATATGTCCAAAGAAAATTCAAGAGTAACATCTCAGATAAACTACTACACTCCACCATTGAAAGACTCATAACGGGTTGTCCAGGGACTTTGTGGTCGGACGCCTATACTTCCTTCAGCAATGAAGAAACTTATAACACTTAATATATGAGTCTATCCGTCGATTAATTCGGAAGATGAAGTCATGTGTAAAAGATTACACAAGTGAGGAAAGTTCTCTGATCGCCATTCCTTTGGGAGTGGCCAGAAACGACCCTTTTCGACTCAAGCAGCTCACGACTTCCGGTCTTAGACCAAGTATACTCTGGGTA